TGTGTGTGTGTGTCCGGGGGGTGCAGAGAGACATGATATGACATAAGCCTAATTGCACACGACGCACTCGGCCAAAGAAACAAAAAAAAACAACATGCCATCTACAGTTGCAGCAAGTCGAAAACTACATAGGAAAAAGTGCATTTCACAGGAGACGAAGTTGGAGAACAAATCAATGAGCTTTTTTGTTTTTGATCAGAGAAGTTTTTGTTCCTAAATAGCTACACTACAGACACCATTGTTCGCTTTCCTACCCTCTATATAAAAATTTTCTTTCGTGGATAGGCGAAAATAGACTCTTTTAGTTTAGTTAGTTTTAGTAAGGTTTTCGGGGCTCGCAACTGCATAAGATCATCGCCAAGGGGGTGGATGTCAACAGAAAAGTCCAAACGGGGAATCAGGCTTACTCTGCTCACCTCTCTAGCCTCAAAAGCACAAAGTCTGCTTAAACTATCAAGGCAACCCTGAAATAGCTATTCACAAGAGAGTGACAAACATACAAAAGAAGTAGAGGAAAAATGACGATAGTAAGGATGAGGAAAGAAAAAGCAGCAGTTCCCCCAATGTTGTTCTGGCACTGTGTGAGCATGACATTGATAATTCGGCCCCTTTACCATTCTACTGTGCATTAGAACATGTTAATATCTCCCCTTTGGGATGGCCTAAAGGCACTTCAGTCAGTGGCACTGCCCTGGGGGTGGGGGTGGGCATAGACTCTTTGGGACGTAGATGTTGAAATAGCAACAATTACTGCCTTGGAATATATAGACCCATGCCCTTGGCTCCCACTGTGACAACCCCCCCCCCCCGCCCTCCTCAACGCCCTTTAGTCAACCCCTCCACCCCCGATGCTGATCCCCCCTATTGCTCGTCGTCCGAAACTATAGACGTCCGGAATTCGGTCCAAGCCAAACATGATTTGCTAAATTTTATATAATCCAAAGTGACCGTAATATTATACTATTTTCTCCAAAAAAAATGGTTATGCCTTTGCAAAGGTATCGGCTGGTCACAGTTCGCTATTCTTTCAACTTTTAAAAAGTGCTGTTGATTGATTGATTGATTGAATGATTGATTGATTGATTGATTGATTGATAGGTTGGTTGGTTGTTGATTGATTGATTGATTGAATGATTGATTGACTGATTGTTTATCTTTTTATCTTATTAAGGTTCCATGTCTTAAATGCATGATCTTGGCCACTTCTAGAATTTAACTTCACAGAGGAAATATACAAAGACTCACAGGGAACGAGGAAAAAATCCATTTGCAGCGGCAGGGTGGGGAAGAAGAAGAAGAAGAAGAAGAAGAAGAAGAAGAAGAAGAAGAAGAAGAAGA